CGCCCGTTGCTCCGCATGTGGTGACTTCTATTATCACAGTAGGAGAACATATTACAGATGCACTCCGGCGCTATACCTCGGATAGCCTTAAACGTAATTAGAAATTCTCTTTTTTTAAGAATGTTATCTATTGGATTCCAACCTAGACTCTGGAGGATTGTTTTTGATCTTGTTTCATAGTTTAATCCAGTAATTATACGAGCGGCTCGCTTTTGTAATTTATAAAGTTTTTCCAAATTTGTTTTGTTTCCATCGTTCCAAACTGTCGAACAGTATGTAAAGTAAGGAACTACCAGGGAATTGTAAATACGGAGTAAGTTGTTGTAAGGTACGTGTGGTTTTGCCTTTCTAAGCAGAGCTATTGCACTTGAAAGTTTTTTGCATTGCTCATTAATGTGTTCAGTCCACCTTAGTTCGTTATCAATTGTAATACCGAAGGGTTTTTTTTTGCTTAACTTGTTTAATAATGGATCCGTTTATATGTATACGAATATCAGTGCGAAATTGATTAAGTTTTCTTTTTGAGGCTATTATCATAAATTCTGTTTTGTCTGCATTCAATGTCAACCTATTTGCTTCTAACCAGTCGTTGACATTGGATAAGTCAGCGTTTAGTTTGTATTTTCGCTGTTTTTTCATTAACTACGAAAATCTTGAGGATGTTTTTGCACTGTAACGACGAAGTAATAACTAGTGTATCGTACGAATGCTTGTTTGGCCTGTATAGTTGAATTTTGAAAGAAATATTGAAGATAATGAGTGGGCTTTTGATGACTTCAATGAAGGGAAATTTTCAAAACAGCATTTGGGCATGTTATCAAGTCGTCCAAACTTCGAAATTCAGTTGATGGTAAAGATTATAATTATGTGTTTATCTCCAAACGTTTTCATAAGACTCGGAGTTGAGCAATTGAAGTACAGCGTTGGAAACTGAGGTATTTTTGTGTGTTAAATTTTGCCTCTTTAGACCATTATTTCGCTGCAAAAAATAAACAACAATTGTATTTTGGCCATGTCATGATTTTTTGTTATTATGTTAATAATTTTGTACGACTTTTAAGGCATTCAATTGAAGTAATTCTGAGCCGTAAACATATTTTACTTCTTGGCCTTTGAATCAAAATACGACTCGCTCGGACGTTTGTTGAGCGCAATAGTCGACTGAAAAAGTTTCGTCCCAACTTTGATTTATTTTTGACCGGCTGGCCAAGACAACTTCTCGTAAGGATTCGTTAGAAAAATACAAATTCAAGTTGAGCATTTCTTGATTTTCAACTGAAAAGATCAACTAGTGGCTAAAATTAATTGCCATATTTATCCTTGCCATAAGACCATAGAGATAAGACAATGTCGCCATCACTGAGCTATAATATTCAGTGGTCGCCATAGTAACCACAACAAACTCGTTACCAGTTCATTGCATCACACATCGATCGGCGCGCCTATAGCCGTTTCACCGCCCTATATATAAGCGCCCTGTGCGCGAGGTAGCTGGATCAATGCCCGCATCCTGCAACAAAATTACTTAGCCGGCGAAATGTTAACTTTGAAAGTAGTTCGAAAATCACGGTGTATTATAGGGAAAATCAAATATATTAAATCCCCCCGACTGTTTGTTGCTAGCCTCAGATCATCATGTAATTGTTGCTCTCTCGAATCTGGCATAATTGTTCTTCTTTCAACAAAATAGTCATATCGTTGACAATAAACCAGCACGCAACGACTTTAATATAGAAGAAAAGATAAAATATCGGATTCCAAAAGGTGCAAAAAGGCGTCGGGGGATTAGCTCAAATGGTAGAGCGCGCGGTTTGCATGCGCGAGGTTGCGGGATCGACGCCCGCATAGATAGATATAGATAGATAGATAGAAACTTTATTTATACACGCTGACCCCGTCAACCGAAGCTGATTTCCACGGGGGGGCGTGTGCAAAAATAGAAAAATGTTACATGGAGATATTAAAATACTTAAGTTTAAAAAGGTAGAATATTAAATTATTTACATGATAAGAAGGTTATTAGAATATTTACAGTTACATCAATTTACTCTATGTCAATTTTGTGAGCAGCGATTTTATTTCTAAAGGATGAAAGAGTTTTGCTTTCCCTAATTTCCTTTGGAATAGAATTCCAAAGGTGTGCTCCGTCATACATGAAACTATTTTTCATGTTGTTAGTCCTCGGTTTTGGTAAACTAAGAGCGCTTGAAATGTCACGAAGGTTGTAGTTTGTTTTCTCACATTTGTATGAAAAAAGATTGGTGAGTGATTTAGGACCCATTTTATTTAATACTTTGTACATCATTTTTGCCTTAGCTTTCTCCCTTTCAGTTTTTAGTGGCTCCCAGCCCAATGCACGTAGAGCAATGGAATGATTTACGTCATTACTCATGTTCAAGATAATTCTAGCAGCTCTTTTTTGAACTTTTTGGAGTCGTTTTAATTGTGATTCACCAAACACATCCCATACTTCACAACAGTAATCAAAGTATAATCAAAGTAATCATCAACATTTGGTAGCTACCGACATGTTACCTTTGAAAGTAGTTCGAAAATGGCGGTAGGGAAAAATCAAATCAAATATGTTAAATACCCCAACTGTTTGTTGCCAGTCCCAGTTTCACCTTGTAATTGTTGCTTTCTCGAAACTGGAATAATTTACCTTTTTCGACAATATAGTCATATCGTTGACAATAAACCAGCAATGACTTTAATGTAGAAGAAAAGGTAAAATAACGAATTCCAACATGTACAAGAAGGCGTCGGGGGATTAGCTCAAATGGTAGAGCGCGCGCTTAGCATGCGCGAGGTAGCGGGATCGATGCCCGCATCCTCCAACAAAATTTCTTAGCCGGCGACATGTTAACTTTGAAAGTAGTTCGAAAATCACGATGTATTATAGGGAAAATCGAATATATTAAATCCCCCCGACTGTTTATTGCTAGCCTCAGATCATCATGTAATTTTTGCTGTCTCGAATCTGGCATAATTTTCCTTCTTTCAACAAAATAGTCATATCGTTGACAATAAACCAGCATGCAACGACTTTAATACAGAAGGAAAGATTAAATATCGGATTCCAATAGTTGCAAAAGGCGTCGGGTGATTAGCTCAAATGGTAGAGCGCGCGCTTTGCATGCGCGAGGTAGCGGGATCGATGCCCACATCCTCCATCAACATTTCTTAGGCGGCGACTTGACATAATTGAGAGTCGTTCGAAAATGGCGGTAGGGAAAAATCATATGAAATATGTTAAATCCACCAACTGTTGGTTGCCAGTCCCAGTTTCACCTTGTAATTGTTGCTTTCTCGAAACTGGAATAATTTTCCTTTTTTCGACAATATAGTCATATCGTTGACAATAAACCAGCAATGACTTAAATATTGAAGAATTCCAGAAGACTTCGAAGAATTCCAACAAGTGCAATATAGAAGAATTCCAACAAGTGTCAGAAAAGATAGATCAAGGAATGGCGGTGGAGTTCGTATTTACTTGCGTAGCTCCATCAATTACAAAATAAGAGATGATCTAGTTCCACCTGAACTGGAAGCTGTTTGTGTTGAAATTATTAAGCCACATAGCAAACCTTTTGTTGTTATGACAGTTTACCGGCCAACCAGTGCATTATCAGAATTCTTTGATCATTTTGAAAAACTGATCAAAGCTATAGATAATGAAAATAAGGAAATGTACATTCTGGGTAATCTAAACTGTGATTTGCTAAGACCAGATAAAGATTATAACATACCAACAAAGAAAATAAAGTCTTTGTATGAATTATATCAGTTATCACAACTGATAGATGAAGCTACTCGAGTAACTATGACAACTACTAGTCTAATTGATCATATGGTTACTAATTCACCAGAAAAAAATTCTGATTCTGGTGTCATTCACACAGGTATAAGTGATCATAGTTTGATATTTGCTATCAGGAAAATTTCTGTTATAAAGAAACAAGAGAATATAGTTGAGATGAGAAACATGAAATATTTTAATGAAGAAAAATTTGTTGCGGAACTACTCAAACAGCACTGGGAACAAGTGTATTTTTTTGCTGAAGACCCAAATGATATGTGGGAGATTTGGAAAAAAATATTCGTAGAAGTCCTAGATAAGCATGCACCACTTCAATGCAAAAAAATCAGGTCTAAAAAAGTCCCTTGGATTACAAGTGATATAAAAAAACTTATTAATACAAGGGACAAATTAAAAAGAAAAGCCATTTCAACAAACCTAGAAAATGATTAGTTTGATTATAAAACGTCTAGAAACAAAGTAAACATAGAACTAAGGAATGCCAAAAAAGATGACTATTCCTCAAAAATAGCTGGTCAAAAATTCAATCCTAAAAAAGCTTGGAAAAGTATAAACAACTTATTAGGTAGGCAAAAGAAACCAACAGTGGTGAATGAGATTAATCTAGGGGGGGAAATTTTTACAACTCCCAAAGATATTGCAGAGGGCTTTAGTGATTACTTTTCAAATATTGGACCTGATTTAGCTAGCAAAATTGATACCTCAAATTATAGTTTTGAAACATATACTAAAACTGCTGAATCAGAATTTGCAGCATTCCAGCCTGTTACTGTCAATCATATCTGTCGTCTCTTGCATGGGATTTCCAGCAATAAAGCCACTGGCATTGACAAAATTTCTTGTAAAATTATTAAGATAGGTGCACCAGCTATTTCAGACTCATTGACGTTTATTTTCAATCAGGCTATAACTCTATCCTCCTTTCCTAATGAATGGAAAATGGCATGAGATACCTTTGTATAAAAATGACCAACGGAATATTCCAGGAAACTATAGACCAATATCAGTTTTACCTGCGATTAGCAAAATTATGGGGCGAATTATGTATGATCAACTGTATAACTATTTAACAAAATTTGAACTCCTTAGCGATTCTCAATTCGGTTTTCGAACATCTCATTCTACAGCAACTGCATTACTGGACTGTACCAATAATTGGTATATGAATCTAGACAGAAAAATGTTTAACCTAGTAGTTTTAATTGATCTAAAAAAAGCATTTGATACTGTTGATCATCAAATTCTATTGAGGAAGTTAGAACTTTATGGAATAAAAGGAGAAGCTCTAACTTTGCTCAAATCTTATCTCACAAACAGAAACCAGAAGTGCCAAATTAAGAATTCCTTTTCTACAGAGCGATTGATTAAATGTGGCGTACCACAAGGCTCTATCTTAGGACCACTATTCTTTCTGCTACATATAAATGATTTACCTCAGTGTCTAAACAAAAAAAAACCTCGATGGTTTGCTGACGACACAAATCTGACAGCATCGGGAGATTCTGTAATTGACCTTGAAACTGCAGCAAATTCTGATATGGAAACCTCAGAAAATGGTTAATTGCCAATAAACTTAGTCTAAATGTAGCTAAGACAGAATTTATGTTAATTGGTTCAAAGGCAATGATTAAAAAAATTCTGATTCACGTTTAAATGTTTCATTGAAAATAAGCAAATTAAACAAGTTAGCGAATGCAAAACTCTTGGAGTAATAGTTGACCAGCATTTGTCTTGAAAAAGTAATTCCGAAAATATTTGCAAAAAAATAACTGCAGGAATCTCTGCTATTCGTCGAGTCAAACCTTTCGTTTACAAAGATACACTCATTTCGATATATAATGCTATTGTTCGCCCATACTTTGATTACTGTTGTGAAGTATGGGATGTGTTTGGTGAATCACAATCAAAACGACTCCAAAAACTTCAAAATAGAGCTGCTAGAATTATCTTGAACATGAGTAATGACGTAAATCATTCCATTGCTTTACGTGCATTGGGCTGGGAGCCACTCAAAACTGAAAGGAAGAAAGCTAAGGCAAAAATGATGTACAAAGTATTAAATAAAATTGGTCCTAAATCACTCACCAATCTTTTTTCATACAAATGTGAGAAAACAAACTACAACCTTCGTGACATTTCAAGCGGTCTTAGTTTATCAAAACCGCGTACTAACAACATGAAAAATAGTTTCATGTATGATGGAGCACACCTTTGGAATTCTATTCCAAAGGAAATTAGAGAAAGCAAAACTCTTTCATCCTTTAGAAATAAAATCGCTGCTCACAAAATTGACATAGAGTAAATTGATGTAACTGTAAATATTCTAATAACCTTCTTATCATGTAAATAATTTAATATTCTATCTTTTTAAACTTAAGTATTTTAATATCTCCATGTAACATTTTTCTATTTTTGCACACGCCCCCCGTGGAAATCAGCTTCGGTTGACGGGGTCAGCGTGTATAAATAAAGTTTCTATCTATCTATCTATCTATCTAATGTAACACCATAAATGTTCGATGCTCTGCAGTGAACTGACCCACTTTGTCATTTCTGCAGGTCTGAATTTTAACATATCTCTTAATTTTAACATATTTCTTCTGAATTTTTAAATTTTATTTCTTTGAGTTTTGTCCCATGAGTACAAGACCTAGTGTTCTTATCCAACCATTAATTTAAAGCAATTTAATAGAGCTGTCAAATTACTACAATACGTTATACCTAATTTGAATTTGAAAGGGTTCAGTTTTTTTATACACACTGTATTATTTTTAACTAAAAGTTACTATCGCAAGAGTGCTGCGTCACTCCCAAGGAATTAAAGGCAGCATGTGCATGCAATTTGCTGAATAAGGGCACAGAATAGAGACAAACAAACGCCCGACTTCTTGGTTTTTCTTATGATTTTGGCGTAACCGAGATTCGTCATCAAAATACTGACACCATGGTCCTAGCAAGTGCGCTTATGAGAGGCATTCACCCCCTGATAATATTCAAAATGGCAGACGTCAAGGGGAGATGCCTCTCATAAGCGCACTGGCTAGGACCATGGCGTCAGCATTTTGATGGCAGTCATGGCGTGGCAGCGGTTACGCCTTTTTGGCTGAGTTGACGTTCTGTGTGTCTTTATTCTGTGATAAGGGGCTGTTTATATCATCCCACTTTGGCACTACGAAATCAGATGTGAGGCGGAATCATTTTGATGTATTGAAATAGGTCACAGTGCACGATTGAGCAAAAAACCACATTATTTTCTAGAGATAGACTATAGTTAACTGTATGCAAAAGGTTGTTCAAGCAGCAATAATAATCTTCTTGAACTACAATATCTTCTCTATAAATTTTGCGTTCTTTTAACCAGTATTTGAACTTTTGTTTAGCCTAGTGACTTATTTCAATACATCAAAATCATCCATCATGTAAATCTTCCATCATGTAAACAGCCCCTAAGATACCTGTTCAGGAGGTAGGAAATTAAAGTGCAATTTGAATATCAAACACCTTGCACAATGTCGAAGGTCAGCTAAATATTCTAATTCTACTTTCTTGGCATGGGCGGTTTTATACCTTCAATGCTTTCAATTTCTTGCTTTCGTATGTACAATTATAATACTGTGAGTGGCAAAGCTAGCATGCGTGGCAGCACAGGCTATGGCGAAGCCATAGCAACAGGTTATGCTACATGTATGCATGTTTTTAATGATTTACAATATTCAAATAGGTGCAAGTTTGCTAGTATATTATGACCAGTTGCCATGGCTACCTTGCCACTGAATACTGCAGAATATCATATATAGAAATACTAAGTCATTTTTTGTTCCAGTTATCGTTTCAATGGCACCTTCATGCAAGGCTACCCCTATCGCAGAACAACTGAACTATCTGCTATTTGTTGACATTCTTGTTTTTAAATAACTTGTTAATAAGTTTAAAAATTATGACACTGGACTAGACACCGAGGCTATTAGTTCTGAATATTATACCATCTTCCATGAAGACGGGCGAACAAGACGATTAGGTTACCTACTAACTTCACTGAATTGTCATGGGACCAATCATTACTATCTATTCACGAAATTGTCAAGGAGAATATCAAAGTTGTGCAGTCGGCTGGTACAAAAGGGTCTGGTAAGGTACGTCGTCCTTCGATGAGAGCAGGACTAACTACACCTGTAAGCTCAAAAAAAGTAAAAAGCCGTTCACCAAAATCGAAGTCTATGCAAAAACGTACAGAACAGAAACTTGCAGAAACTATTCAGGTCTGCATCAAGCAGATATCCATGGAATCTTGAGGAAGTCGTTGCTAGGGTCGATAAGAGTGCTGTGGATTCAGACTAGAATATAAAGTTAATTCACTCAGCGAAACACAAGTCTAGATGATGCATTACCTAATCGACTGAAACACGAAATGTCAGTCCTCAGGAAAGCTTACCATAGCAAAATAATGGAATCCGGTTGCTTTTCAGCACCAGGTAGTCTAGTGCAGTTTAGTGAGTGTGCAGAAAGTATTGTAGTGAGTGTATAGAAAGTAGTGGGAAAGGGAGGAGGGGGTACGGATCACGTTTCACAACGAAAAAAAAAGCTGTTTCACAGTTCACGTGTCTTAAAAAAGCAATTTCACGGAAAACTAGATTCTAACAAAATAATATAATAATAGTAGGTTTATTAAGAGTATGTTTAATGCATGGTACAGTATCTACACTTTATTAAGTTCTCTCACTTCTCTACCTGTCAGTTAAAAACTACATCATAACTTACAAGTTTGAGTGACGAGTATGTCCGGCGACCTCCGAAAGGCCTCCGAAGTTTTCACTCTTGTGTGCAATCGAGTGAGATCATATAAATTGATTATTGCGTATCATGTTTCTTATGTCGATTATGAAATAAATCGAAATAAACAAAGCAAAATCACAGTTCACGAAACAGACATCCTTAATTCTCATTTCATGGAGCATTTATATCGACAATCACGCCACACGGCTGTAGAACAAATCACATTTCACGACACTAAAATCAAGCATTTCACATTTCACGCGAACAAATATTGACCATTCACGGCTCACGAAAATACCCTTTCCCACCCTCAAAGTATTCTGGGATGGTTATTAATTTAATTTTATTTTATTTTAATTTCGACAATTTTACTTCAAGGAGATCCAAAAGTTTTTAAATTTTTTTTCTTGAAACATCGAGGGTCTTTCTGGAAAGTTACATGACGAAGATTTTTTGTCCATAATTAATTCGTTTGATTGTATTTCACTTGGTTAAGCGATGCTAGTCCACAGAACTCTCCAATAGAACAGAGATTAGACTGTGACCATTTTGAGTTATTACAAGAAAATATTTATAAGTTTTCAAAATTAGGAAACATTATTTTATGTGGAGATTTCAATGCCAGATTAGGTACGATTTCAGAAGAAGAAATTCGTTCATCAGCTAAAAAAATTAAAGACAAAAAGCCAAGTGCTAGGGACTCAATTAGTACTATTTAACTTAATTCTATCAAGTGAGGTGTTTCCTCGTATATGGTCCGAAGGTTATATAGTACCCATTTATAAGGCAGGTAGTCGTTGAGATATTGGAAATTACAGGGGATATGTATAAGCAGTTGCTTAGGTAAATTCTTTTCATTAATATTGAATTCCCGTTTTAACACTTTTTTGGAGGGAAACAAGATGTTAAACAAATGTCAAATTGGGTTCAGACATGGGTTCAGAACGTCTGATTACATACTTGAATTAAAAACATTAATTGATTTATACAAGAGCCATAAAAGGCCGTTATTTGCATGCTTCATAGACTTTCGGAAGGCTTATGATAGTGTATGGAGAGAAGGTCTATTTTATAATCTCATTCAATACGGTTGTAGAAGAAATTTTATTCTTGTTTTACTCAGCATGTATTCTTCGGTTAGGGCTGCAGTCAAACTTAATGCAGGAGTTCCTTCCTTTGCATCTAACATTGGACAACAGGGGTGCAATCTTAGTCCAACTTTGTTCAATGTTTTCATAAATGATATTCCTGAATTATTTATCTGCAAAGTTTGTGTTCCGGTGTATCTGGGAGAAACGAAAGTAAATTGTTTAATTTCTGCTGATGACCTAGTACTTTTATCACAGTCTGAGTCTGGTCTACAGGAGAGTCTTGCTAAGTTGGAATGTTATGTTATAAGATGGAAATTGAAAATTAATTAAAAAAAGTCTAAAGTTCTAATCTTTGGAAGTAAATCTCAAAGGCGCCGTATAAAATATTATTTTGGTGGAGATCTGTTAGAATGTGTTGATGAATATCCTTAGCTAGGAATTACATTTCATTATGCTGGTGGTTTTAAACTTGCACGAAAGAGATTGCATAATAAGGCACTGCAGGCTAATTACCACAGTATTTTTAAAAACTTTTCCAATGTGGATAAGGGTTCCGGTTAAGGTGCTGTTAAAACTATTCTTCAACACTTGTTTCCCCAATTCTGTTATATTGCTTTGAGATATGGGGAGTATATTTCTTAGGAAGATTGACGACGACCGATATGTTCAAGAACAAAATTTTCAACGTGATT